GCTGTGGGCGCCATCATCTTGTGAGGGCCTGGCAGTCAATTAGCATATTCCTTCTTTATTAGATAGGATGTTAGTGTGCCAGGTGCTTCGTAAAGGGCTGGCAATTTTACCATTGCAACAATAATGGCTACCACACAGTGACTATTCACAACATGCATGTAGGACCTTGCATGAATGATCTGTACATGGCAATGACCCAGCCACTGATGACCCATGTGTAGTTTTAAGCTATTTCATGGCCAAGTCTTTTAGTTTCTATGGTCTCCCTATCCCTTGTCAGTGAGAGCAGGGATCTCAGGCCCTTTCAACACTAGACAAATCCACAACTTAGCAAACTCTAACTTCACTCCAACAGGCAAATTCCCTGAGGAAAAAGAACAGCCAATAAATAAACCCTTCAGACAGAAAAGGGCCAAGCATCCAAGAGATTCCCAATGGCATTTCTGGAAATGTTTCACTTTAGGTTTAAAAGAAAACTTTTAAAATGATTAAGTTATTTAGAATCTCAATCTTCCAAAGTTTGAGAAGCTAACACACTGAGAAATTTAATTTAGATTTCCTTAACACACTCTCTCGTGATAAGAGAGCATTCAGTAGATCAGTATAGAAATGCTATGCAATAGGACGGCCAAATTGCAACACAGAATGGGAGAAATTTGTCATTTTGAAATGCTAAGGGAATTCTTACTAACAGCTTTCTCATCTTGTAAAGCTATTATTTTCCTGAACGATAATATGATTTATAAATCTCAGCTGAGTTTTATACTTTCGATGCGAACAGACTTAATGTGAAATGCATTTTCTGGGAATATAAAAGAAGCATCTTCTGCAACCAAGCGTATCCTTGGTCTCTGCTGGCATATCAGTAGGTGAGCGTTGGTCTTCTTCAAAGTCCTGGGTGTAGCTTGGCTTCTTCCTCTGTACACATTCCCTGGGTGACATCAGCCACTCTGAAAGCTTCAACTTTTACTTTTGCCTCAGTAACCTCTATATCCACACTTCCCACCCCTTCATATCTCCCCTGAGTTACAGGTCCCTATGTCAAACTCCCCCCTAGACAGACCACCGTCATATCTACAGACAGCTCAATCTCAAATTCTCTCTTTTTCCTTGATCCCGTTTCTTCTCCCAATACTGCAGTGCTACTGATGTCTATAGAAATTAGTAAGATACAGGTCCTGCTCTCAAAAATATAGTAATCTAGCACAGGAGATAGAAAAGTAAACAGACAATTATAATATAGGTTAATCAGTGCTGTGGTGGGAAAAACCCAAGAGGCTGTGGCTGTGGTTCTCATAGGAAGACCACCGGTCAAGGAATCAACCTGGGAAGTAATATAGGTCAGTATGAGGTAGGTAACTAAACCAAGAGGCTGTGGCTGTGGTTCTCATAGGAAGACCATCGGTCAAGGAATCAACCTGGGAAGTAATATAGTTCAGTATGAGGTAGGTAACTAAAGTGTGAGTGTGGTGTGTGTGTGTGTGTGTGTGTGTGTGTGTGTGTGTGTGTGTGTGTGATGTTATGTTATGTTGAAGAGTAATGAAGAAGGACAGAAGAAATCCCATGGACAGAGGCCCAGAGGTATAAGACCGTGAAGACACATATAAAACATGGCTTGGATAGGTTTGGATCGGGATGAGGCCAAATCACCAGGGCCAGATCAGAACCACATTTGATGTATACCACATTTGATCCGCACTGGGTTTGAAATCCAAAGGGCATGATACAGAGCGCTGACCAGCACAGGCATGGAGATGTATGCTCAGGCTTTTCATGGTGATCACAGCCCAGACTCCAGGGAGGCCCACCAAAATCTCAGTTCTCCACAGTGCATTCCATGAGATGATCCAAGGAAAACTGACCCAAGGAAAATTAATTGGGGGTTGTATTTCATGATACCTCGCAGGGCAATTATACTTTTTCTACCTAATCTTTAATCCTTACAACCACTCTGAGCATAAGACAAACCGTGGACTTTGGAGGTAGACAGAAAGAACTTCAAAACCTTAGGCGTGTTACTGTAACTTCAGCCATTCCCACCTGGAAGATAAGGGTGAAAATGGCCACAAGCCCTCATCATAATCCCTCTGAAAATGAGCATATTTATAAGTTTGCCAAACTTGACCTAAAGTGACATGAAGCTCCTTATAGTTTTATTTACCCTCTTAATATAAATATTCTTACATTTTTCAGCAGCATATTAATGTGTTTGCTTATGGGGATGTTAATGGCATATTGCCATCTTAACTTTCTAATAGCTGAAAAATTGAATTAAAAACACATCTAGCCCAAGGGTTTGGGGTGAGGAATTTGAGGACCTGTAATATGTGTAAAGCATAAGATATATGAGATAAGTACATAAAGGGCCTCCATGGCCCGGGAACAAGCAGGCACAGTGCAAGGGGCTCAGAAATTACAACTATTGTCAAAAGGAGAGAGTGAGCCGCCTTAGACTTTAGAAAACAAAGGATGAGGGAAACTGAAACCTCTTATAGGAAATACATATTTTCTATCTCTGGCCTCCCAAATTTTTGCAATCACATTTTTGGGAAATTTGGGGATGATTTAATTTTTCAAAATGAGGTAATGCTTTTAAGTCATTGGCTTTGCCATTGTTCTCATATTTACAATAGGAGGAAGGAAATGAAAACTATTTGTTATAGACACTAGCAAAGGTGGGTTTTGGGAGATTCTGGGAGAGAAAACAGCACAGACAGCACCTGGTAGAGTGAACAAAGTGTTCAGATAAGTGGCATAAACTTCTCAATGTCTGGAACCCAGGGAGCATGGCATCAAATGGCAATAAATAAAGCCAGAGGGATGTTTGGGAGAAACTTATGAAAAGCCTTAAATACCATAGTAAGTTTGTATTTATCCTGTGCATCAGGGTTTTTCAAACTATTTTGACAAGAGAATTTTATTGAGACAAAATTTGATTGTCATGAGAGCTCTGTATACTGCCACCACACACCAACCCATTTTTACTCTCTGACCCAACAGTTTTTTCAAAAGATCAAATTTGATCATCTCACTCCATAGGACACACTCTTCAAATATCTCTTCAAGCTTGGAGTAAAACGCCATCTCCTTGCAGGCTCTGGATGATGTGGTTCTGCCCACTCTCCAGCTCGTTTCACACTACCTCTCTGGTTTGCCATTTGTAGATTCTCCAATGAGTCCTGACCCTCCCGCATCAAGGATTTTACAAAGGAGGCCTTCTCCCTATCTCCTCCCTCCCAACTGCCTAGTTAGCTTCCTTCTCTTTCAAATCTGTACTTGGCTATCTTTTCTGGGGAGAGCCTTTCCCAGCTTGGCTAGATCCTCTGTGTTATATTCTCCCATGCCTGTAGACTTCTCCATTCAGCACTTAATCACAGTTGTGTTAAATGATTAGGTAAGGATTTTGTTGTTTGATGCTTTCCCCCCACTGTACTGTAAACTTTCAGAATGAAAAGTGACCCCATCTGTCTTGTTCATGACAGTGTCCCTGGCCAGTGTCTGGCCACTAAGTGGGCCTCCAATAACTATTTGTTGACGATATACCAGTAAATTCAACAAGAAGGCAGATGGGGGAGGATGCTGCTTTGGTTGAAATGAGGATAGAGCCTTTGGTTGAAGCAAGAATGTGGGGCCTGGAATACTTCCCACTAGGCCTTCTCCTTGCCTTCCACATGGGTCCCTGAAGCCCTTCTCTGTGGGAAACACTTTGAGAAGCATTCTGGAATATTCTGACTAATAAAAGGCTTTGTTATCTGGCTTTGGGGTGAGAATAAGTGTTCTCAAGAGTGTTCTCTTGGCCTGAGGAAACTTTCTGCTTGATGGTCAACAGAATGGATAAATGATCAAAGTAGCTTTGTGTAGACAGGAAGCATATTTCATTCATTTATTTCAACATCTTGTCTCCCCTGGGTGAGGAAAGACTATAAAAGACATATGTAGACTAGTCTGAATTTTAGCCTTTTATGCAAGACAGGGTGTAGAGTAGACGTTTCTTTGGAAAGTCATCTTGGCCCAGGCCCAGACCAGCAAGAAAACTGCCTCTGTACTCAGCAGATCTGTGCACACTTGGCCCCATTCCTCGGTGTGAGATCATGTGACACAGGGCAAATTGGCTGACTCTATCACTCGTTCAGTGTGGTCAGCTGGGATGGAGTCAAGGGCTCCCTTTACCTGTTTAGTAGGGTAAATCAAAGTAAAAATTACCTTTTGATTGAGTAGCACTGCTAAAGAGAATCAATAGCAATGGCTGGAGATCCACTGGCACTGTTTCAGCGTTAAGCATAGTAGACTTTTAAATTACTGGAACTGGGTTTGGAGATTCAACTTCTGTGAAGCCAGCTCAAAATAAGTAGCCGGGTGGGTTAAAGGAGAAGTAGCGTGTCTAATTAAAGAGAAAATATGTGCTGGCCAAAAGTAAGTCATTTTTCAACCTCAAAATATTCTTTCCAGATTCTAAGAGTCTGTGTTTGACATGTTTAAGAGAGAGATATAACAGCTGAAGTTGTCTGTTCAGAATGTAGGAGACGGTTTTGTCTAGACTTTCAGGAAAGATACAGAATGACATTTTCAGAACAAATCAAAATATATTTTTAAATTCCTTTTTTCCCCTTCAGGAAGAGGATTTGACATGCTTATCTTATTTGAATTTGGTTGATCTACAGTGGCCTCAATAGTTTGATATAGAGTAAAATGAACCATTGAGAAAAGTTATTGAAAATGCTGTTAGTTCACTTTCTTCCCTTAATATTAGCACCATCACCACCAATACAATTACTAATATTTATTGAGTGGTTTCTAGGTTATGTGCTAAGCTCTTACCATATAGTTTCATATTTAGTTCTCATAGCAATCCCATGATGTAGGTATTATTACTGTCAATTTTCCAATGAAGATACTGAGGTACAGAGAGTTGAGGTGATTCACCCAAAGCCTCACAGCTATCAGTGGCCAGGCAAGGAACTGACATCCTCATCACTACACTGTGTCTTCTTTCCCTACAGGGCCAGCATCGTACAGAAACGCATCATTTATTTTCAAGATGAGGGCTCTCTGACCAAGAAACTTTGTGAACAAGGTAAGAACATGCAATGGGAGAGAGCCAAATAAATGGAAGGTGGCTTATTCAGTCCAAACACCTGGCTTCGGGAATTAAGATGATTGTGCTTTCTGAGTTCCTCCGGGTCCTGCTTCCTCACGTAGCTCCAGTTTTTAATCTGGCTGTGTGCTGCGGATAATTGGATCTGCCTTAAGCTCTAATTACCCAGCTTGGTTCCCTGGGTAGGAGATAATGTACCTTATATTGGTGTTGTCTTTTTTATTTTTGTGAAACAGTGATTATTCTGAAGAGGTTCCCTGGAATAATTCACAGGACTTAATTAAGGAATGCACAAGAAGTTTTAATGGTTTTCCAGAATAATCACCAACAGAAACTTGGGTAGTACCCAGATGATATGGAGGAACCTTCTCCAGGAAAGCACAGAGGGAGATGGGGTTGCCATGGGGGCATTGGCCTTGTGATTTCACCACATTCAAGGATCTGGTCCTTAGATGTGCAAGCTCATCATTGCCCTCTCCATTGGTTGAAGGCATTCTAACAAAGCCCACCCAGATCAAGTAGACTGGGGAGTTCAGGCCAGAGGCCTGGATTCAGATCTGACCTGGGTTTAAAGCCTGTCTCTGCCCTTTCTGCTCATCTGGCTTAATACATGTAAAACTCTACCATGCCTCCTTGCCACATAGGAAATGCTACCCGTAAGTATTAGTTATTATTATCTGTATCTGAAAGCTTGTTTATTAATCTACTGTAAAAAATGAAGATCTTAAACATCTGAATGTGTTTAGAAGTCATTAAAGAACTAAATAAAAATAGAAAATGTTCTATAATTATACATCTTTATCTCATTTCTATTCATTTTTGCAGAAGTTTATTTGCATTTCAAGCCATTAGCATTTTGAGAAGAAATAATCCTCTCCAATTCTAGCAAATCATAAACTACTAAGAAAAAGAAAGGTTGATAAAGGTCTTCTGGGAAAATTATAAGAATAGGTTTTTGTTTTTTGGGTTTTTTTTTTTTTTGAGTGCTTGCTACATGTCAGGCACTATTCTAAGCACTTCACAGACCTTAAGCAGGTAATCTGCACAACCCTATATGGTAAAAACCATTACATCATCCCCATTTTATAGATGAGAAGCCTGAGGTGGGAAAAATTTAATGTCTTGCTCAGCATCATACAGCTTGCAGTAGAGGGCAGGGTTTGAATCTAAGAGTCAATGCCCTTAACATTTCCTTTCTGTCAAAGGGACTACCTCCCAATTCAGTAGCGTGAACTGTTGCCTTTGGTAGATCAAAGCATCCTGAAGCATATGTTTCCCTGTAGATGAGCTAGAACAGAAATTAGACCCTATATGGGGGGAGTGGTGTTGCATGCTACGCATGGAAAGAGCAAAAGGGGAGAGGTTAGATACCTGCATTAGGGCAATACCTGCCATAGGATAGGGGCCAGAGAATGGAACCTTTGGGTCAGGACCCTGGTCAGTTTCCAGTGGGCATCACCATACGTGGCTTTTGGGGCTTTCCTTTCCTGTATTTCATTGTTCACATGCCCATTCAGCTTTTCTCCAAACAAGGGAACATTTCAACTATTGAGGCTCTCGATTTCTAAAGGGCAATCCCATTCCTGCCCTGGCTCCATGAGATGCCATTGAAGTCCCGTGGGTCAGAGTTGTGGGTTTTCGGGATCACACATTTACAGGCCGTGTTTTGGGTTACACTTACAGATGGGGGGTGGCTTTGTGAGTTTGACTATCAAGGACAACCTTATCTCCCGGATTTGAGGGTTCTAAGGAGGCCCTTGGCTGACACTCCACATACTGATAGCAATCCTTAACTAAGTGCATGTCCCAAAAACTCAATCCTTGTCTAAGCTATGACTATGCTAAAATTTTGCAGATATAGTGTCAATAAAGTGGCATTACAAATCTCTATTGGTTATCGCTTCTGAAACAGAGATCCTCTAGGCATGGATACATGGTACAGGCTGATAGAGGTCAGAGGGGAGAAGACTTGGGGGGACGGGGGGGACTGGATGAAAGAAGGTGAAGGGATTAGCCAAAGAACATATATGCATAGCCCACAGGCACAGACAACAGCATGGTGATGGCCAGAGGGAGGGGGCTGGGGGCTGGGTGGAGGTGGGTAAAGGTGGGGGTGAAATGGTAGACATCTGTAATAGTGTCGACAATACATTTTAAAATATTAATATTGAATGAATGAAATGACTAAACACGCACCTGTTTAAAACACCACTTTCCTTTTTAAAAAAATATTTTTTATTGATTTTTTACAAAGAGGAAGGGAGAGAGAGTTAGAAACATCGATGAGAAAGAAACATCTCCGCCTCCTACACACCCCCTACTGGGGATGTGCCCGCAACCAAGGTACATGTCCTTGACCAGAATTGAACCTGGGACCCTTCAGTCTGCAGGCCAATGCTCTAGCCCAGGGGTGGGCAAACTTTTTGACTCGAGGGCCACAATGGGTTCTTAAACTGGACCGGAGGGCCGGAACAAAAGCATGGATGGAGTGTTTGTGTGAACTAATATAAATTCAAAGTAAACATCATTACATAAAAGGGTACGGTCTTTTTTTTTTTTTAGTTTTATTCATTTCAAATGGGCTGGATCCGGCCCGCGGGCCATAGTTTACCCACGGCTTCGAGTCTAGCCACTGAGCCAAACCAGTTAGTGTTAAAACACCACTTTCTAATGACAACTTTATTGGGAGGCTGAGGGGGGCGGGGAGCCCAGCAGGACCTGGGCTGTAGGATCTTTTTAAAAAAGTTCTTTATTGTTTAAAGTATTACATGAATGGGCTGTAGGCACTTTAGATACAGTTGTAGATGATCCCCAGAGACAACAGACCCATGAGGAAATTCATCAGTTAGCAGGCAGATCACGTTAAGAAAGTCTTTAATTCATCAGCATCGAGCAAAGGGATTTCTCTTAAATGTGTATGCCTACTTAATTATCTCTAGCTCTTTCATTAAGGCCTTTATATCCTTTGGTGAGTCCAATCAAATCAATCAGGGAAGGGGAGAGAGATGCAAGTATCTATTATTTTTTTTCCCAGTAGAAGCTGTTAATGCATAGGGGAAAAATTAAGACCTGCACAGCTAAAAAGCAATGGCAATCGTTATTTTACGAAAGAAACAGAAAACATTAAGTTAGTTACAATTAAGTGAGACACATAAAATATTCAAAAAGGTGACCCATAATAAACATATGCATCCACAGGCTCACTTTAAATCTATGTCACAAACAATTAAGGGAGAGCAATAAGGCGAGGGGAAGATAAAGGGGAAAGCAGGGAAGAGAGGAGACTGCGGGAGAAAAGGGATAATGAGAAAAGGAAGAAAAGGGCTAGAGGAATGGAGAGTAAAGGATGAACGCTGACAAGGAAACTGGTGGACTGAGAGTAGAAATGGGGAGAGAGGGCAGCTCAGGAGATGCTGCAGGGCCTGAAGTTACCTGTATTTTGCAGGCCCTGCTGTGGTTAGAAGGCGGAGAGAGAAGTTAACACTTGTTATCACTACCCTTTGAAAGCCTGGCTCATTTTCAATAGGCTTGTCCTCAGTAGGAAACCATATGTCTGTTTCTAGTTTCAAACTTAGAAATTTTCTTTTTAAGTAGAAGCTTATTTTTCTGTTGGAAGTTCAAAAGATTTATTGTAAAATGTATTCCCTTGAACTCCTGGATACATGTTAAGTTTACCACCTATAGACCTGAGAGCCCTTTGGATAAGGTAAAGCTCCAATTTTGCCTTATTTTGGTTTCTTGAGAGGTTATTGCTGCTTCATTTGACAGTGCCTGGTAGTCACCATCGAAACCCCAGCATGTACCTCTTAGCTCTGAATCCCTTTTTCAAAACGAATTTAGTTTTTTCACAACATAGTTGGTCATAATGGAAATGTAAAAAGCAAAAAAAAAATATTTAGGAATTATGATTTATCCTACCTTTCCTGAAATATATTCAACAGAGCTTGTCCCTCCACTGTCAAAGTGGCTCATACAGGAATCAGACGTGGGTTACCTGTGCATGAGGCAGTGGGAGCCTGTTCCTCAGCACAGACAATGCTCTGGTCTCTTCCAAGTGTACAAAGAGTAGCCACCAGGGATTTCTGTTTTGCATGGTTTCAGAACTCTTCTTTAGGACTGTTTAGAAATCCTGGAGCTGTGTGGGGAAATAATTTTTTAATGTACCATTCTCCATTTGAAAAAGCAAAAAGAGAAACACATGGAAGAATTTTCACTCTCCCTGGCTGGTGTGGCTCAGTTGGTTGGGCGTCATCCGATGCACCAGGAGGTTCTGGTTCGATCTAGTCAAGGGCACATGCCCAGGTTGCAGGCTAGATCACTGGTAGGGGTTGTGTAGGAGGCAGCTGATTGATGTTTCCTTCTCACATCAATGTTTCTCTCAAAAAAAAATCAGTAAACTATTCTTTAAAAAAATTTTTTTTCACTCATTGGTGTTTCTGTGGATCTATCCAGCCAAAGGTCTTTGCTAGATAGATAGTGTGCAGAGATTAAGGGCATGGGCTCCAGCCTGGCTGACGTGTTCAGAGGTTGAGTGTTGACCTATGAACCAGGAGGTCATGGTTCAATTCCTGGTCTGGGCACATGCAGGAGGCAGCCAATCAATGATTCTTTCTCATCATTGATGTTTCTGTCTTTCTCTGCCTCTCCCTTCCTCTCTGAAATCAATAAAAGTTAAATAAAATAAAATAAAATAAAATAAAATAAAGAGCATGGGCTCCAGACTCAAAAAGACCTGAGCTCCAGTTTTGCCTGCACCACTCACTAACCCTGTGACCTTGGGCTGGTTACCTAATATGCCACAGTTTTCTGATCTGTAAAATGAGGTTAACTAAAGTACTTACCTCCTAGGATTGCTAAGACAATCCCAGCTATATGTGGAAAAGAATCAGCACATACAAGGACTCTATACAGTGTAGTTATTATTACAATAACTCGTCCTTTCTTCTCCATCCTGGAGCCCAGAATGCACTTCTTCCACCCATCACTGATTTTGCATATTCAAACCAAACGAACCCAGTGAATTCCATATGGAACACTTGTAAAATGCTCTTTCTTACACTCAAAAGATTTTTGTACTCTTTGTCGCTTGCTCTTTATATAATATTTAAGAATAAATGTCCAACTTGGAAAAAAAGAACATTTATGATAATAGCGCTAGAGAAACTGAAGCACTTGAAGCAAGTTGCAGCTGTAGTCATTGTTTTCATCTTGCAGGAAGCAGAAGAGACGACAGGCAACAATGCGCAGTTAGGGATGTGGGCTTGACAATCGGAAATTCTGAATTTATTCATGTAATCTCTCTTTCCCCACTTATCAGCTATTCACAGCTAAAAGTAGGGCCAGAGAGGGAATCTTCAGTTTTTCCTGGCTGCCACTGTGCTCAGAAGTAAACCCGAACTTCGGAACATATTCCCCACCCACCACCCCTCCCAGTAAAGCCTCTGAAAGCTTGATAAGAAGTGATGTGATTATATATGCGTATCTTTTTAAAAATAATAATTTCCAGCAGTCCTTTATCTTTCTGTCTCTGTCTTTCTGTTCTCACTGCTCCTTCAAAGCAACTCCTTCTGGTCCTGCCAATCTGGCCCCAGGAGATATTTCTTAGAGAAAACACACACATGTATATTCTTAAAATTTGGTGGGAAAATCATGTTGTGGGTGGGGTGGGGGAAGAGACCGGGGCCCAGAATGGATAACTTAGTCAGTTTTATCTCTGGTTTCTCAATACAACCTCCGTCCCAAATATTCTGCCTTCTTGATCCCACAGGTCTCCTCACTTGATAAGAGCAAAATTTATTTATTTATTTATTTATTATTTATTTATTTATTGCAGAATGTGGTTGCCATACTGAGAGGTATACAGAATCCTTTATAGCCCAAGTCCTGACCTGGTTCTCTGTGTTATTAATCAATGAAAACTGCACCTCATATGTTTTTCCCCAAGCATTAAGGACGAGATCAAGACCCACATTTGCTTCCTAACTTGGTGCCTTTCCTTCCTGTTTCAGATTCCATGTTTGACGGGGTGACGGACAAACCAATCCTAGACTGCTGCGCCTGCGGGACTGCCAAGTACAGACTCACCTTTTATGGGAATTGGTCTGAGAAGACGCACCCAAAGGATTATCCTCGTGAGTAGAGCAGCTACTTTATGGGTTTGGGAAAAGTGCATTACAGAGTTCTGTCTGGTGGTGGGATACACTAGCTGAAGTATGTTAGGTCTGCTCGTTCCTGCCAAATGATTCATGAAATGCACATTCCCTGCAAGTGAATTCCTCAAGACAGAGGTCTGCTTCTGGCTTCTTTGCATAGCATTGTTCTAAGTGTATTCTTATTTGTGATTTAAAAAAATATTCCTGAGGTCAGGCAGCTTATCTTCAGCTCAGACATGCAGTAACCCTCAGTCCTCCTCAAATGGCTCTATCCACGAACCATACAATAGACACCTTTGTGCTTGAAATGGCTGGCCAAGGGGACCTGCTCTTCACTCAGACCAAGGTCAACAAATATGCAGCATCCTTAACCACAGCTGGCATTGGTAGTCTTCCAGCACACCCTTTCCTTGCTGACTCCAGATACCACCTTAGAATCCTTTGTGACACCGTGCTCCAGGTAGCCAATGCCGATCCATGAGACTTGTCGGGAGACCCCAAACTTGCTATTTTGAAGTAGACCCTTAAGTGGGACTCTGCCAACTCACTTTTCTCACACAATTATCTCAACAAATGCCTAGCAAGTGCCAGCCACTGTGCAAAACTCTAGAGATGTAATGTGCACAAAATAAAGACACAGCTCATAAAACTCAAAAACTCAGAGATTAGTGGGGAGGCAGACACTAATCAAATAATCACACAAAAAGATGTGACAATTATGATGGTGTGGACTTACTGTGTGCCATTTACACATTGTGTCATTTAAGTCTCAAAAATAACCAGTTTTTGTGGATGAACTCACTGGAGAGCAGAGAAATGTCATGATTTGTCCACAGTCAAATGTAAGTAGTGGAGCCAAGATTCCAAAAGGGGTTTTCAGGCCTCTTGCCCTGCCTTTCATTTGGGTTGCCTTTAAGAGCCAGTGTTGCCCATTCTCTCTAACGGTGGGTGGCAGGATGTCCCTGTGTGGCATTGAGCATGCTTTTTCTGTTTATTGTTTGATTCTTGTTCATTTCACTTTGGAGTTGCCACAGCTGGGAAAGAACAGTGGGACTGTGAGAAAGAGATTAAAGGGAGGGATTTGAGTCAGCCCCCAAAGGAAGGGGGAGCAAAGGGTACATGGTTAGAACTTAAGAAGACCCAGTTCAGACTAGAACCTCCGTGGTCCCCAAACAGCCCACCCAGACGGCACTCCAACATTTCTTGGCAGATCAAGAGCCCAATTGTTTAATTTTTACCCACATGTAATTAAGGCTTGCATCTTAGGAGCCTCTTACTAGTTCATTTTCTTGACTCTGGGATTCAGCTTGATCTGCTTCAGCTGGTGTGGGAGACCTTCGAGAACAAACTTGGGCTCTTTGCCTGGGGGTGGAAACCACTTGGAACGAGTATGAAGGAAAAGATTTCCCCCAGTGCCTCCCATCCACCAACCCAGAAGCAAAATGTTAGGGGTCCATTACTCATCTTTTGTAATCCTAATGAGCTTCTTGCTCTTTTCTATTCTGACAGTTATTTCTCAGAACTAAAAAACAAATTTAAAAGGTACAGACCATTGTTTCTGGATCTTTGGGACAAATCAAGGACAAATCTGTACAGAATGTCTGTGGAGTTGTTGGGAGTTTCTTAATAAATATATGTATTCCAGATCCCTCAGGATGCTTCCATTGACAGATGTCAGAGTGTGTCTTAATTTTTGGTCGGGAAAAATTTGGTCACTATGTACAGAAGAGCATTTATCACATCATACTGTAATTATTCTTCAGGAGTTTTATTCCCATCAGACAAAGTTCTCCAGGACAAAAGCCACGACAGGCTCATTTGTTATTCTCAGTGCCTGGAAGTGCCTGGTGCCTCCCCAAGTACCGTGTGCTGATTGCTGAACTCAGAGTGGCATTCGCTATGACCTGGGAGGCAGATTTCTAGCTCGCATCTAGTCGCCATAGCCAATACTGAGCAGGGGGTGTGGGCTGGAAGTGTGGGCCGGACCCTCCTTGGAGGAAAAGGACTTGAATGCTCAGGAGACTGGAGCTAATTGAAAGGGCACAGAGGTCCAATCAGGGCTTTAAAAATGTGATATTACCAAAAGTGATTTCTACCAATCTTCAACCATAGATGACTACCCTTTGGCGTCTCCAGGGATGATTTTGTCTTGATAACCAATGCTTGCCATTAAGCCCAATTAAGCCATGATGCTGCTTCCCGACAATAGTACAAACTGATAAATTCGGAGTCCCTCTCTCCTTATTAATTACTCATCAAAAATGCTGCTTTTTCTGCAAGGATCTTGGAGCAGCCGTCCTCAAGCTTTATAACGGCAAGGTCCCTTTTACACACTTAAAAGCTATTGGGAACTCCCGCAGTCTTTTGTTTATGTGGGTTGTGTCTCTCAATAGTCACCATGGGAAAAATTAAAACAGAAATTTAAAAATATTACTTACTTTTTGAAAAGGAACATGCAATGAATTAGCAATAATAAACTTACTACATGTTACCATATTTTATGAAAATAACTGTATTGTTCAAAACAAAAGAAATGTAGTGAAATGAGTATCATTGTTCTACATTTTTGCACATCTCTTTAACCTCTGATTTAATAGAAGACCCCTGGATTCTCATATTTGCCTCTGCATTTGACCTGTCATGGTTTATATTTTGGATTGTTATATATGAAGAAAATTCTATCTCGCCCAAGTAATTGGAAAAGGGAAGAATATTTTTTTAAAATATATTTTATTGATTTTTTACAGAGAGGAAGGGAGAGGGATAGAGAGTTAGAAACATCGATGAGAGAGAAACATCGATCAGCTGCCTCCCGCACATCCCCCACCGGGGATGTGCCCGCAACCCAGGTACATGCCCCTGACCGGAATCGAACCTGGGACCCTTGAGTCCGCAGGCCGACACTCTATCCACTGAGCCAAACCGGTTTCGGCAAGGAAGAATATTTTAATAACCTTTTCAGATCATTACAGATAATCTTCTTTGATACTATACCAAAACTCTGCAAATGGTACAGTAGTTCCCCTTATCCTCAGGGGATATGCTCCAGGACCCCCAGTGGATGCCTGAAACTGTAAATTGTACTGAGCCTTATATGTACTACTAGAGGCCTGGTGCACAAATTCATGCACCAGTAGGGTCCCTCAGCCTGGCCTGCGGGATCGGGCCAAAACCAGCTCTCTAACATCCCTCGAGGGGTCCCGGGTTGCGAGAGGGCACAGGCCAGGCTGAGGGACCCCACCAGTGCACGATAGGGGCTGAGGAGGAATGCGGGAAGTTGGCCAGCCAGGGAGAGACCGCCAGAGGGCTCTAAGGCTTGTCTGACCCAGCTCTCTCAGTCCTGATCAGCTGGACCCCAGCAGCAAGCTAACCTACCGGTGGGAGCGTCTGCCCCCTGGTGGTCAGTGCACTTATAGCAACTGGTCAACTGGTTGACTGTCTTCCCCCGGTGGTCAGTGCACATCATAATGAGCAGTTGAGTGGCCTTAGCATATCATTAGCATATTACGCTTTGATTGGTTGAACGGACAACCGGACACTTAGCATATTAGGCTTTTATTATATAGGATGTTTCTTCCTCTACATGCATACCTATGGTAAAGTTTAATGCCTTTCCCATCTTAACTAAGCACTCATCACGCTCTGTGGACATTGTTTTTGTAATGTGAGGTGGGACAGCCAAACTAGCATGAATTTATTTTTCCTTCTGCACAATTTCATTGGTAGAAGATTAGTTCTTAGAGTAGATCTTAGCAACCTCAGCATACGGTTGTGATTTTTTCCCCCTTATTAAGTTGAAAATGTTCAACTTTTCACATAAAGGAAGCACTTTACACCTTCTCTTTGACATATCTAAATTGCCAGCATTACTATTCTTAATAATTCTTAGCATTATTAAGTAAAATAAGGGTTACCTGAGCAGAAGCACTGATACTGTGACAGTCCATCTGATAACTAAGACAGCTACTAAGTGACTAACGGGCAGGTAATGTACACAGTGTGGATACACTGGACAAAGGGATAATTCACTTCCAGGGCAAGACAGCAGGAGATTTCATCACACTGCTCATACTGGTGTGCAATTTACAATTTATGAATTGCTTATTTCTGGAATTTTTTATTTAATATTTTCAGGCCGTGATTGAGCTCAGGAAACTGAAACCATGGAAAGCAAAACCTCAGACTGGGGGGAGAGGGGACTACTCTACTTTCTTAAAGGGTAATTACAATGTAGAATATTAAAACCATATTAATAAACTCATATTCTATTGCATTAAAATGCATTGCTTTCCTTGGCACTGTGAGTACATCTGATACAAATGAATGATTTTGTAACATCACACATTGGTCATTTGGAAAATATTGGTGTTCTGAGTTATGCAGATGATCCAAAAGTGGAGACGTTTCATTATACAGAATCAAAAATCACATTCATTATACCACTTCCAGTCTCATCAGAAAAGGGTTTAAATATTAGAAAGCTATAAAATTCATAGTGACAGATACAAGTTTTCTAAAATTCTAAGTTTTGCTTGAAAGCTTGAATTTTATCATTGGCCGCAAATGCTGTCAGGTGTGTTCCTTGAAGTGATAGGCTCACTTCATTGTTGAGAAAATGTCTGCCAGATTCTCAAGTCTGAATAACCATCATTTGTCAGTCCAGCTTGCACCTCAAACAATCGCACAAGTGCTTTTGTGCAAGACAATCATGGCACTTCAGTTTGCAGTTGAAGTGCTTTACGCAGATTTCCCAATTAGTCACACAGTACAATAGGAAGATGTGTACTCAAAGGTACAGAGATTTGATAAAATTAATAATTTATATGGTTTCATCAAGGACATTCTCAGGGGAAACTGACTTTCATGGTTGTTGTGCGCTGCACGTTTCTGGCGGTGAAGAATACACTCTACTGATACAGCTCAAGGCCACTGCCTTGATCCGCACTAACTTCCAATAGTTTTACTCACCTTGGGTTTGC